TCTCTCTTTTTTTTCGTTATGTGCTGTTTTGTTCCTTTCTTTCGCTTACGCCAGTAAATATGACAGCTCCTATTTTTCTAACACCTTCAAACACTGTTCAGCTTGACCTTTGCTACCAACATGCCAATGTGTTGTTGTAATAATGAACTGAGATTTCCTTAATCTATGTAGAATTCTATTTATTGATAATGTACTAACTGGATGCAATACTGTAGTAAAAATGCTGAGAATTCCATTCTGTATCACATGTACTGTTCTGGAATAAAGCAAATTATTATTATTATTAGATAACGCGTACGTCGGGGTGTTCCTAAAGTAAACTATTGTCCTGATGGGGTCTCCTGCTTTGTGAATTTTTATAGTCCCATACATTCTACTAGGATAATTAGTTTCAGGCGCAAGAATAAACCATTTTGACTTACCCATAGATGACTTCATACAGCGTACTAGATCACTTGTAGACTTTTTGATTTTATTCATAACAGTGTCCACAGGTCTTTTTTAATTTACTCATATGGGCCTGTTTCAATATGTTGACTGACCTTGTCCGTGTAATCTGATCTGTCCATGACAACTACTGTTGTAGCACCCTTGTCCGACTTTGCAATCACTATTTTTTCGTCCTTTCTCAAGCTTTTTAGAGCTACGGTTTCTTTTCGTGATAAGTTGCGTCTTCCATTCTTCTGACTTTTTAGTGTCAAGGCAGCACATTGTGCTCTGATTTGTTCCGCAGTAGTTTTTTCTATTTTACTTAATGCTACCTCTATACTAGGAATGACGTCCTCAACTTTTAATCTGTTAACAGCGCTGCATTGAAGTTTAATCCCTTTTCAAGTACTTTTATTTCATCGGAGCGTAAGGCTTTTGTCGAGAGGTTAATTACCTAGTTTTTTAGCGATGGTGGACAGCATGACGACTTTGTAGATTACTTTGAATGAATTCTCCTTACATATACTGAGTGACCAGTGTTGAATATATGTTCTATTATTATTATTATCATTATTATTATTATTGTTTTCTTTAATTCCTAGAGGAACATAGGGCTTCAGCCGTGCGTCTCCATTGCGTTCGGTTCTCTGCTAGAGTCTTCACCTGACTCCAAGTCTGCCCACATGCTTTCATCTCCTCTTCACATCACCTCCTCCAAGTCACTCTTGCACTGACGACCAACTCGCCACTTCCCTTTCGGGTTCCACTCGAGAAATGGCTTGTCTAGTGATGTCACTTGATGGTTTCTCTCAGAGTATGGCCCAATCCATCTCCATTTCTTCCTGCCTATTTGTTTCACAATCGGTTCCTGGTTGGTTCGCTCATTGCCAGAGATCTCTGTTGCTGATCTTTTCTGGTCATGTGATCTTGAGTATTGAGCGAAGACAACTGTTAATGAAGGTCTGTAGTTTGTTTGAGATGCTCTTTATGATTCACCAAATCTCTGATCTGTATAGCAGCACGGACTAACTTCACATTGGAGTTGAAAATCCGGATCTTATTTTTGATGCTGAGTGCTCTTGACCTCCACACAGACTTGACGTGAGTAGTGAAAGCTTGTCTTGCTTTTCCGATTCTTGCTTTGATATCCTCGTCAGTTCCACCTGTAGTTGAAACGATGCTTCCCAGGTAGGTAAAAGAGGTTGTTTCTTTCAGGTTCCTCCCATTTATGCTGATCGTTGTCTGTTGTTGTTGTGCTTGTCCAAGAATCTTCATCTCCTTATTGGCCCACTGTTACCTTTTCGTAGCCAAGTCGAATAATGTGCTTTGACTCTTTTAGATAAAACACGCATCGAACGACCTATATATCTCGCTAGCTCCACATGAGCAAGTAAATTGGTAGATACACACAGAAGTGGCTAAATGCGATAGTTCATCTTTGGAGCTGTTGAGGAACAATCTGTGGCATGAGAATACCAATCGTAATGTAGCAGCAGAGAATGTTCTTTTCAAGGCGTTAGATATTCTCTTTAGGATGTCGATCAGAAGATCGCCTTTGAACGCCACGTTCATGTAACGCATCTTCTTCAGCAGAGAGATGGGCTGTTCTTTGCTGTTTTTGGCCTCTATATGTTTATCTATAAATTTTGTTTTATGGGGAGCCATTCTCAAGTAGTGTCCTCTTCAAAAGAGTGATCTCTTCTCCTACAGATTCGAGACTGCAGATTTTACGGATTCTATTCGCAAAAGATATTATCAGGTTCCGCTTACAACTGATGTCTATTCAACTATAAAAGTTTGCCAGCTGGCCGTTCCACTTAGGCTTTCGAAACATATTGATCTCTTCCTGGTAAAAATTCTCATGATTCATCGTTTTCACCTAACCAAAGTATTTTTATAAATGACCTATGATGAAATCTGAAAAATAGGAAATGCTCTAGGTCGGTCGAATCACTATCTCATCCAGTAGGTGAGCTTCCCTTCCCCCACTCCCATTAGACATAGTTGGGAGAATTGATTATCAAACGGTCTGTACTTTTATAGATGGTATCAAAACGCTTCCCGGTTAGATTGAGATTTCAACTTTCTGGTTCTGAATATATTTAAAAATTGTTGCATAGCGCAGTCTATTCTGTTTACTCTTTTCAACTACTAAAAAGCATATAAGTAGTCAGTGGTGCATAAGAGATAAAACATTTTGATTATCAAGTATCGGCTGTTCCGCCAGCCTTCTTTGGGACAACTTCGATAGTGTGTACCCATCACGGTTGAAACCCAGCACCTTCTCTATCAAGGTGATGGAACTTAATGCAAATTTTTAAAATCCTATGAGGACACATTGGGTATTAACCAAAGGTGTATAGTTTACAATGTAGTTTGTAAAAGTTCTGGATGATATGGACAAAGTTTTGGAGGCAAATACCAGTCAACAATGACACTTTTTAGCTCTAGGCAATATAAAAAATGTTATATATATATATTCACACTCTGTTTACTGTCTATATTATGCATTTCTCCTACTTTCTTCTCTTCCTTTGTGTGCTACATGGAGTGTGGTGACTTGAACTGCCGCACATCAGTGCAAAGTTCTATGTCGAAAACAGACAGACAGACATATATATATATATACTAGCCGGGACTAATTAAGTAAGCCTGGAAAAGAGGGGTTAGACAGGTTGATTAGTAAGCAATCCCCCTCCCCACTTTTGGAACTCAAGCATGACAGAGGCTCTATACTCCACTTGGAATGTAAAAACTGATGGGGGAAAAACAATGTGACACCAACCATTTGAATTAGATAACACTATTATATCATCAACTACTCACAGACAGAGACTTGGCGCGTCACAAAGGCTACTTCGAACAAACTACAGACCTTCATCAACAGCAAACTTCGCTCAATACTCAAGATCGGATGGCCGACCAGAAAAGATCAACAACATAGAGATCTCTGACAATGAATGAACCAACCTAGCAGGAACCAATTGTACAACAAATATTCAGGAATAAATAGAGGTGGATTGGAGGCCATACTCTGAGAAAACAAACCATCAAGTGAGTGACATCACAACACGCCAGGCCGTCCCTCTCTCTCTCTCTCGAATGGAACCCGAATGAGAAGCGGCGAGTTAGTTGGTCGTCAGTGCAAGGGTGACATGGAGGACTGACAGACTAGTTTCAACATAGAACTTTGCATCGATGTGCACCAGTTCGAGTCGCCACACTCCCTCCTTGTAGCACACAAAACAAGAGAAGAAAGTAAAAGAAATGCAAAATAGAGACAGTAGACAGGGATATGGGACAAAAGGAATAGTAATAACGAAGAACAATATAGTTTCAGTGGAAATTATAAGTCACAAGGAGTGAATGCATCTGCGCTGTCATTGACAACGATTTTGAGTCATATCACCGATTGTCTCAAGCGATTGGCTTTTACCATCTCTAGGACCCCAACCACGAAGCCTACACCTCCCTACGTGTCTGGCTTAAACTAACTATTGTGGATTTATTTCATTGACTGATGAAGCCATGTTTCGGTTTGACTACCACTGTCTCTTTTCCAACCTGATGCATCCTACGTCAGCTAACACTGCCCATTGTCGATGGCTAGGCATGCGGACCACATGTCCTAACCATCTCAATCGGTGTAACTTCACAATCTCGTCCATTAATTTCCCCTCCAACTCACCTAGCACTCCACGGAAGCCTAACCTCAATATTACTCACCTTATTATACCAAATAACACGCATAGGAGATAGAACGCAGGCACCTATGATCAAAGACAGCTAGCCAGGCTTTTCATGTCTTCGACTCTCAATAGCCAGGTCTCTCTCACAGCCATAAAGGAGGAGGGAGAGAACTGCTGAGTAGTACACACGCCCTTTGGTCGACAGCCGGCCAGCCGGATATCACGTCTACGCCAGAGACGGCGTAAACTGGCATATGCGAAACTGGCCTTCAGTATCCGTGCTGAGATTTCGTCAGCGATCAACCCATTGGCTCTGGCTGATACAAATTCCCCGCCCCGCCCCCCAAAAAAAATAAGTGAAGTGCTCAACACGCTCCATCAACCACTTCACTCCCTATTTCTAAGCTAGAAGTGAGTCAGTCCAGCAGCAACCATCATTTTACATTTCACAGCAGGAGCGAATCGCATGCCAAACATTCGTAGACTGCAGGAGGAGGTCATACGAAGACGAGATGAAAGCATGTCGGCAGACATGGAGCCAGATCAAAACCAAACGCAATGCAGGCGTGCGACTGAAGCCGCATATTCGTCTAGGAACTAAAGAAAACAATAATAATATAAATGAATGTATATACACACACACAATACCACACATGTTTATCCATACAAAACCAGTTATATTTATATTACCATGAAGTTAGCATAAGAATTAAGCATAAGTACAACAACTTGTAGCAAACATTCTACTACACAGTGAAGAAAAATGGAAAAAAATATATACATATACAAAAATAATCACCTAGTCAATAGAATCATTTGAAACCAGTAAAAAATAATACTATACACAAGCGAAAATATATATGTATGCATATATATATATATATATATATATATATATATATACGTTTCTCATCATATCAATCTATAGAAAGACTCAATTTCACGCAGTAGTTATAGAAGAATCGAATTATTGGAGTTAAGGTTTACACACCAACGAAAGGTCATATATGGTGAGCTAGGGGGGCAGGAGTTAGAGTAGAAAACTGGGAGTATTTCACGTAAATAAGTAAGAAAACAGACGAAAAATCAAAAAAAATAGCTACATCATCAATACCAGATATTCTAGAAGAAAAAGAAGCCGGCGAAGACGGCGAAATGTAATTTTGGACACCACTGTTGTTCCTCCACTCACTTCATCGATTCAACCAAATTAGGAGTAAAACAGAGACCAGTGCAATTCCAGTATACTTTATATATGACATGTTTTTGTCATTCACGTTGAATTTGTCTGCATCAATTAGAGAGGACAGTTTCATTGGAAGATGATCCGCACTAGATATCTAAAATACACACACAAACAAAAAAAGAGGGCTTCGAATAAGATTTTGTTAGGAACTAAACATACATATTCTAGCAGCATGGTTTTACAAGGGAGAAAGGAAGTGTGTGTGTGTGTGAAGCTCTATTCTGCACCACTTGATTGACTCCTCTCCTTTATCACTCTACCAACCCTCAGCATGATTTTAAGATCATCATTATAGAATCCATGATAACCTGCCGGTCGCGTTTTTTTCGTTATAGACTTCTAAAGACAGAGGAGGCCTTGGACATTCATGAATTTAAGCCACCCAGACCTTGGTGTAGAAAAAGAGAAGTATGTACAACCCCTACTTTATTATTTAGTATTATTATTATTATTATTATTATTATTATTATTATTATTGTGATGAGAGCTGTCAGCAAGCTAAAATTGTAGACAACAATTGACGTCAATACTGTTTACGTCCCACATCGGGGTCAGGAGTGAAAGAAACAAGAACAGAGCCTAACTTTGAGGAACTCAACAACCAATCACAGCAGACTTAGCGTGGGCGGATACGATTCGCAGATATATTACTGGACATGACTGTCTAAGAAACCGCAACAAAGGGATGGCAGAATAACCTTCACCAGGAAAACAACCAATCAGATGACGTTGCTTCTCTGCTAACAAAAACGAATAATAATAATAATGTACATAAAAATCTATAAATATCTGTTGATTTTCGTAAAAAAACGATCTGTTGCCTGGCCCTTGTCTTCTGTCGTTACATTATTATTACTATTCTCACTTTGAATGGTTTCCACTTGTCCAACTTGTCATTCTAAATCCAAAATTATATTTTTTTACAATATTGAATTCTATCTTATCAAATTTCACACCATGTTATGTAATGTTTTATGCTACTGTCAATGGACGTGAACATTAAACGTTCATATACTGGAACTGGCAGCCATTGGTGGGCAACTCGAAGGCGCGAATGGTACGATCGCGTGCAAGTTGGAAGAAGGCGGAAAGAACACGAATAAAAGTACTTTATAACTTCATTTGTACTAAACATTTGTTTGTAGACTTTGTATTTTGTCTTGCTTTAATTGCCAAACAATATAAATTCGTTCAAGGAATACTGGTGTTTTGGATTTAAGGTTGAAACAAATACATAGTCTTTATCGGTTCAAAGCGTTTTCTTTACAATAGGAACTTAGGGCTAAGTTCCTTGACAGCTACCCTACTAACCGTACAATTATACACGCCTTTCCAACATCTAGACATCCTATGAATTATTCTATATATGACACTGATTGTTTCGCCACTTGACATTTAACTATGATTATAATCACAAATATTTTAATTGCATTTCATACTACTATTATTATTTCATGTATTCACACCTTTGATCTAATTCCCTCACCGGATATAATTTCCTAAAAACCATATATATATATATATATATATATATACAACTATACAGCTTGATAATAAATTCGTTGTTGAAGAGAGTCTCTTCGCTGAATATTGTGACCGTAAAACTACACATTACTCAGAGAGATCAACTAAAAACCAAGGAGGTACTGAAAAGCTGTTTCATTCTGGTGTAGGATTCTTAAATACATCAGTCTTCAGCTAATCAATGCCTACTGGATGGATATCCTCATGGCCAGTGGGATATCTACCAATTCAAGGTGAATGGGAGGCGCATCGAAGGCATTGGGGATTGAAGGTAGTGCATATCATGAATTAACAAAGTTAGAAGACGACTTTTCCAGTAGCCACCTTACGCATCACATCCTCCAGCAGACGCTTTATCCAGTCTAACGTTAAGGACAACATACTGCTCTAGGCCACCTCAGTGTGTATTTATCAGTTTACTTGTTCATGTGGAGCAAAGTATATCGGCCGTAAGCAACGTCAAGCTGGCAAACCTATTCTGAACATAGTCCAGCTTGGTTAGCCAGAGGAGAAAAGGAGAATATTAGCAACTACATCCTCGAACACCTTATCATCTCTGGATATCCAGCACCCCCTACGGCATGAATGCTTCACACTGTTACACAGAGTTCCTCAATATCATATGAAAGGACTTCGAATACGCCATCTGTACATAGCTACTGAATCATTGGTTGTTCGGGACCTTAAACCGGACCTCTGCATTCAAAAGCATCACATACATTCCCTCGCTGCCCTACCGTGGCCAGGGTAACGTTCTCACTATAATTCTGCTTCCTTTGTTATGTAAGTTTATTATTACTATCATTATCATCATCCTTATTTTGTTATCACTCTACTACAGTTTATCAATAACACTGCATTTCCACGTAGATTTTATAAAAACGCTTTATTGCCTTCCCACTAAATCCTGTCCATTCTACACGAGCTTATTGATTAGTCATTATCTCATACTCACTACGTCATGCTAACTTCTGCCTCTTTTCTATCTTCCAATTAGCCATCCCTTCTAGGTTACACCTTACATTAAGAAATAAGTTTTTTGAGGACAAATTTTACCAGTATCTGATTGGTCGTCTTATGATTTCTTTGTTAAATGTAAATTCTCTTTGCTGCCTACGCCATCTTTTCCTTATAAAGACAGAATTCACAGGTCATTATGTTCCGTCGGTGTGCTAAGGAGTAGTAGTAGTAGTGACCGCCAAACACCATGCACATGGGGTCTGGGGATCGACGTCCCGGTCGACGAACTCCTAAACCTCACTTGGCCAGTAGTAAGTCCGGTAAAGAGGAAAAGATTCAACGTGAGGCTACCACAATCCCTCCTCCCCTGTAAAAACAACACCAAAGTTACTGAAACTCCAAATCAATAATAATTATAATAATAATGATAATAACGAATTCCGGTCTAAGTGGCTGAATAATGACAAACCAGCTTGACCTCGTTGCCTGAAGTAACCGAGTTTGTATCCTAGAAGGGGTAATAATTTTTCTAAAGAGCTTCAGGACAAAGACAGTTGTTCAAGTACCCTCAGGTTTCAAATGATCTGTAAGTGATGTTTGGTTTGCGGCAAAATTTACATTCAGATTAACCCAAATTCCTACACAAACCCACACTCAAAATAGGTGTTTAGCAAAATCAAACGAATGCCATATTAGTTTGTTTATTAGATATATCACACAGTCAACAAAACAGTATTATTATTTACTGGATGACGTTTCGAACAAAATTTATTACCGTTCATAATCATTCCATCAATTATAATCACACGACTTCGAAACTTGAGTTTTATAGTTTTCTTTGTTCTCTCCTATTTGTCATCGTTGGGGTCGTAGAATTTTCCAGATATCCGAATGGACAAGTGTTCAATCATTCCTATTACACGTGTTTGCAGTTGATTCGATAACAAAGCTTCCGTTGTCAATCTCTCCCTCCACCCTTTTACATTAGATTATAAAACTGTCATCTTATCTGGTTGTGTGTAATTGCATGTAGTGAGTGGTACAGCTGAACTTATCATAGGCTCCATAGGATCCTTTAACCGACAAAGCTTGTTACTAATTGAGTTTGTGGGTGGTTTGAATACCAGCCACTTTTATTCCTGCCTTGTTAAGAATTCTGCGTAAGGTTTCCGAGGTTCCTTCCTAGTATGGAATTACTACTGATGATTTACATTCCTTATTGTTGATGTTGTCATTATTCTGTGCATGTTTGACATGCATGTCGTCATTATTATTATTATCATTATTATTATTATTATTATTATCACTATCACTTCTATCACTATTTATTTCATTTTTACGTCTCCTTACATATTTCCTGACTAATTTATCAGGTTAATTATTAAGTTTCAGGGCTTCTTTTATGTGTAGCACTTCCTCTCTTAGATTTTCCTTGGAACTACTTAGATTTTGTGCTCTGTCATTTAAACATTTCACCAATCATATTTTTACTGACATAGGATGGGATGATCGGAAGTCCAAATATCTGTTTGAATGTGTGGGTTTCCTGTAAACACTAGTGTTTAACTTCCCATCTCCTTTCCTTTTTACGTTGCAATCTAACATTGGAAGCTTCCCTTCCTGACTTTCCAATTCAGAAGTGAATTGAATTGCCTCCACCTTTGAGTTAATGTGTCCGAAAAATCTATCTATATCCTATGTTCTAAGTAGAGTGAATGTGTCATCTACATACCTCCACCATACTTCTACAGGGAGTGGGGCTGAACGTTTCAATCGCTATATTTTCCCACCTATCCATGAATATATCTGCTACAACCGGGGATTTTGGTGATCTCATGGCAACTCCCTTAGTTTGTTTGTATATTTTCCCTCGGAATTTAAATACTGTGGAAGTCAGACATAGTTGCACTCCGAGCATTATGTCTTTAAGTGGCACTTTTGTTCAAGTTCTTGTTCAGAAATGAGTTCGTTTTTGACTGCCTCTATAGCCATATCTATTGGTATACGTGTCTATAAACTGACAATGTCAAAACTAACCATTTTCTCTTCATTATCTAATTTTAAATTATCTAACCTGTCCCAGATATCTAGAAAATTCTACTACCCCAAGGACGACAAATTGGAGAGAACAAAGAAAACTATAAAACTCAAGTTTCGAAGTCGTGTGATTATAATTGATGAAATGATTATGAACGGTAATAAATTTTGTTCGAAACCTTGTCATCCAGTAAATAATACTGTTTCACTGTGTGATACATCTAATAAACAAACTAATATGGAATCACTTACTACCACAGTGCCCAACTTTTACACACATATATTAAAATGAAACGAAAACTTCTAATGACACAATTAGTCAATAAATATGCGTCATTAGCTGACTGATTACGAGGAAGGCATTTTAAAGACTGGTTTCTTTTTATACTGACAAAAGAAGACTATCAGACTATTTATTCGGCTATCATTACCACATTATACAACATTTACTACTTTCTCACAGACTGGATCTCAATGCAGTAGATATAAAATCATGAATCTGAATGGTACTCAGTCTCTATTGGATTCTCAACAGTTGTGTATTCACGGTCAAAAACCATAATGTTATATCACTGAATCATTCGGTTAACAACATTACAGTAAAAGAACTAGGATTACATATCATTCGCGTAGACGTGATATCCTGTTGGTTATCGACTAAAGGGAGTGTCCAATACTCAGCAGTTCGCTCCGTCCTCCTCCTTTATGGCTGTGGAAGACTTGAAAAGACTAGATGTCTTTGATCATAGGTGTCTGCGTTCTATCTCCCGCGTGAAGTGGTATAATAACGTGAGCAATATTGAGGTTAGACGTCCAGTGTTAGATGAGGAGGGGAAATCAATTGACGAGGCTGTGAAGCTACATCGACTGAGATGGTTAGGACGTGTGTTATGTATGCCTAGCCATCTCCTCCCTCGACAATGGGCAATGTTAGCTGACATAGGGTCAGGTTGGAAAAGAGCTAGCGGCGGTCAAACCAAAATGTGGCTTCATCAGTCAATGAAATAAATCCACAACAGTTAGTTTAAGCCAGCCACGTAGGGAAGTGTAGACCTCCTAGTTAGGTTCCTAGGGATGGTAAAAACCAATAGCTGGAGACAACTGTTGTGTGATATGGCTCAAAATCTTTCTCAATGACAGAGTAGATGCATCCACTCCTTGTGACTTACAATGCCCAATGAAACTATATTGTTCTTCGTTATTACTATTCCTTTTGTCCCATATCCCTGTCTACTGTCTCTACTTTGCACTTCTTTTTACTTTTTTCTCTTGCTTTGTGTGCTATATGGAGTGTGGCGACTTGAACTGCTGCACATCGATGCATACTTCTTTGTTGAAAACAGACAGACAGACAGACAGACATACCATTCATTACCATGTCAAGTATATATATGACGATTAATCCAAGAGGGGAATGTGTAGGCACTGTGACAAAGTATAATTTCATATTCGACGAGTTTTTGCGATGCACTAAACGGTGGATGGTGTTTCGAGCACGATTTACTCCTCATATGACTTCATCTTTAGAGGAAGTGTGGAGTGCTGCGCACTGCAGACTTCGACCTTCTTCATGGCTATGAGACGTGGTCATTGAAGGTGGAACATCTGAAGAGGCCATCTGTATTTGAACACAGGTGTTTTGGTTTTATCTCTCGTGTTCAGTGGAATAATCTGATTGAGTACTATTGAGATGAGAAGGGCAAGCTAGCACCAATGACGACAATGTGAAGATCCATTGATTGACATGGCTAAGACACGTATCACTCATGAAATCATACCGCCTGCCTTTCTTAAGGTCCGGTTAATAGTTGACACTGTTTATGCCACCTTACACATCTTTGGACAGTAATATAATCAGCATACACACAATGAATGACTGGTTTCAAAGTAAAACTTTGAAAAGATGTGCACCAGTTCTACTTGTCACTCCCTCTCAATTTACCACACAGAGCAACAGAAGAGAGGAAAAAGGAGGTTGAAAAGAGAGATTATAAACAGAAGTGTGAACAAGGGAAAAAGAACAGTAATATGGAAAAACAATATGATAAATTACAAAGAGTGAATGCATTTGCGCCATCATTGACAACGATTTTGAGCCATATCACCAACTGTCTCCAACCGCCATTGGTTTTCACCGTCATCCGGAAGACCCCAACCAGCCAGTCAGGAAGTCTACACCTCCCAACGTGTCTGGCTTAAACTAATTGCTATGCATTTTATTGACTGATGAAGCCATGTTGTCGTTTGACCACCACGAGCTCTTTTCCAACCTGATAGATCCTTTGAGAGTCAGCTAACATTGCCCGTTGTCAAGAAAGGCATGCGATGGCTAGGCTAGGCATGCATAACACATTTTCTAACCACCTCAGTCGATGTAATTTCGCAGCCTCATAGATTGATTTCCCCTCCAACTCACCTAGCAATTCACCGAAGCCTAACCTCAATATTGCTCACCTTATTATACCACTTAAAACAGAAGATAAAACACATGTAGCTCTGATCAAAGACAGCCAGCTAGCCAGGCGTTTCATGTCTTTCACTATCGATGGCTATGTCTCAGCCATAAAGGAGGACGGAGCGAACTGCTGAGCAGAATACATGTTCTTTAGTCGACAGCCAGACGGATATCACGTCTTCTAAGCCAGAGATAGCGTCAGTTGGCAGGCAAATGCCAAACGAGCCTTCAGTATCCGTGATGAGATTTTTTCAGCGATCAAGCCACTGAAGTGGTTGATGCAACTATCCAAATAAGTGAAGTGGTCAACATGCCATACCACCTTACTCCCCATGTCTAGGCTAGGAGTGAGTCGATGTAGTCGAGTCCTGTACCATATCTTTTATTTGACACGAGCGAATCGCATGCAAACATTCTAAGATTTCTGCTCAAGGTGAAATTAACCACCTGACATTTGAAGGGGGATTCAGCTTAAGACCATTTGACGAAGATAATCAGAACCTCGAGAAATACTACTAATAACAAATGAATATATTTTCAAGTATTGGTTTTGTAAGGATATTTTTGATTGCATGGAGGATTTCATCATGAGCTGACATCAGTTAGAGAACCACTGGTAAATCTGGGAGTACTGGACAGCTGTTTCGTCAGCCTAGTTTAGGACTCTTCAGCGTACATACTGATGAAGAGTCCTAAACTAGACTGACGAAAAAGCTGTCCAGTACTCCCAGATTTACCAGTGGTTCTCTAACTGATGTCAGCTCATGATGAAATCCTCCATGCAAATGAATATATCTCATGCATATTTAAAAATTGAAACAAAACCTAACAATATAACATACTTTTAATGCTGCTTCGTTAATTGACTTTGCAGACTGAAAAGGCAAGAAAGAAAGAGAGATAAACGGTGAATGGGAATAATTTAAGTCAGAAGTAAGCATTTTAGAAAAACAAACTGGAATATGACTGGTTATAGTTAGTTAATCGATGATTTGTACGTCAGATGGATGATTTTGATTCAGTTTTGTGTTCCGCGTCTCAGATGGTTGATTTAATTAAGAAGCTTCCGTTGTCCCTCCTCTAGACATCGCTTCAGCGCAGGTTTTAGTATAAAATGAACTTACTTGAATTCTCTCTCCATGAACGATGATGTAATTGTATATATACCCTGGCAACCACTGTCGTGACTTGTTGTTAATTTACCTCATTTTTATTATGGACTTGGAATTCGAAATTTCTTGTCATGTGATGATTTACTTTTTATCAGCTCATATATTTGGTGTATAGTAATTAGTGAGTTTGTTAATCGCATATTCGCTTGAGTACCAAGCTTCTAGGAATTCCCTGACTGCACTTTCGGTGTTTCCTCTGTTTAAAATTTCCACATTATTCCAATCATCTAATTGGTGTCCATAATTATCCACATGCATTGATATGAAAGAATATACATATCATGTTTCTTTACAGCTAATTTGTGTTCTCTTGATTAAGATATCTAAGAATGGAATGGGCTAGCCATTTAAGAGGGGTCCCAGTGGCTGAATGACTGTGGGATATGGCCGTTGAGGCTGAAAGATCTCTTGAAGAAAGCTGTCAGTATCCACATATGTATGCAATCTATCTCCCACGTTAAGTTGTATAATTTGGTGCATGATAGTGAGGTTAGGTAAGGAAGCAAAGCCAGTCGGTAAGCTTGTGAAGGTGGATTGATTGATACGGCTAGGAGATGGATTGCGTCACAAGGCAAGCTCGTAAGAAGAAAATAGAACGAGTTATATTGAGCGTATGATCAGGTAAGTTCATTGTCAAATTTCTAAACACTTCCCACCTTGGTTTGGCAAAGGTCCGAATAAAGCCACTATACGCAGCTCAATACTAGCTCGTCTCGTCGACACTGACTGGACATCAAGTCGACTCTAACAAAACTTTTGAAATAACTTATCGAATGTCACCCGACCTCTCGCTGCATGGTCTACGAGTACGACTTTTACAAACATACAACAGAAGCAATTGGATTTCATCTGAACCAGCTAAGTCTGTGTGTCAGTTCAAAAGAAATTTGTACAGCCGCTCTCTTTGCCATGGCCAACTACATAAAATGTATTAAGTTTTTAAGAACGATGTTTTCCCTCCCCTTGTAACTATCTTTTGACTTTGTTAATTTTTATAATTCTGGCTAATTCCACTAACTTGTTTGTATTTTACATAATTCTTCTGAGTCATCCATCCTATTCTTCTTAGTCATCATTGCTATTTTACAAATTTCTCGATTATGCAATAACTTGTTGCTAACGCCTGATAACTAACTGAACTTGAATCCCGTAATTAATTAATTTTCACCCCTCCTTCCTTCAAAACCTAGATATCTTGTTTATAACAGCTATTTAGTTAATTGATGTTTTGATGACCTTTAACCTCCTAATTTCACCCTCCGCCTAGGAATGCCTAAAACTGATCAACTAAACTAACCACTTGATTGGTAAAACATTTTGATGTAAAAACCGACTATATATTAGTGTACAGTCAGCCGATGGTGAGGAACGAATTGAAAAGGAAAGCACATTTCTTCGCTTAATCTCCTCCTTTTTTCTAAAAGCATGTAGTTAATTTAAAACAATTAGTTCCCTTTATGAATTTAGTTAGATAAAACAATAAGAAGACGTAATTTGTCTGAATAGTGCGTGTAATGTGCATTTGCGCACAACACATTTCGAACAATCTGATGACACACACGCACTTGTCATAGGAAGATGTATATATGTGAAATTAATAAAGAGGTAAGAGGTGAGAAAATAGACTTAGGTCAAGTTAAAAGGATATATTGAAGGTTAAAATAACAATGAAGATCATCACTAAACCAAATAACAGAGGTAATAGTACATCTACCCTAGATGGTATCAAAACAAAGTTTACCAACGAAGGTTTAGTGTGATGACGAATTGTTTTTGAACGCATGAAGGTGGTTTAAACGTTCTGATTGTAATCTTGGGCTTCCATAAACTTTAGGATACCCCCCTCCTCCAAACACGTTTAATAGATAGGTTTAAAAGACGTGCAGAAACATCAATTTTATGTCCTGTCTCCTCTGTAATACATTTCGCAACAGAAAAGCTAGGTCTCCTGTTCTCATCATTAATAGGTTCTGAAGATTCCATTTGTTTCTGGAGCCATTTAGGAATACGCTCTGAAGCCAGCCCTTACTTACAGAGATCGATGAGTCCTCCCTATGTATATGTGGCCACACGTACATTCAAATTGGTAAATACAGTGGGATGTGACGTCATTTTTCGCACGTTCGAAGGGCTTAGATAGATATATTGGCTACACATTCTCAATTATTATGATATTAGCTGTATGAAAAGTCTTTTTAACCACAGCAGTCTTCAATCTTTGTCTGGTTATCAAGCTGTTATGATGCCCCATATAAGGTAGGTAGCTTTCTTAGGGGCGAGTTGGAGAGTGAGTGGGTCTTGCTGTTCTGACTACTTTAAATCTTCTGATGAACTTATCTGGATAATTGTTATCAACCAGACTTTGTGTCGACTTTCTTTCTTCTTCAAAAACTACAAATTTGTATGTACGTGTGGACACACATACATAGAAGGGAGGACTCATCGATCTCCACAAGTAAGGGCTGGCTTCAGAGCGTATTCCTAAATGGCTCCAGAAACAAATGGAATCTTCAGAACCTATTAATGATGAGAACAGCAGACCTAGCTTCTCTTCCGCGAAACATATTATAGAGACAGGACATAAAATTGACATTAACAGATCTTTTAAACCTATCTATAAAACGTGTTTGGTGGAGGGCGTATTCTAAAATTTGTGGAAGCCCTAGCTGGTAATTAGGAAGTTTAAACCATCTTTTGCGGTCAAAGCAACAATTCGTCATCACATTAACTAACCCTTCCTTGGTAAACTTTGTTTTGGTTATAATACGGTAGATGTACTATTACCTCTGCTATTTGGTTTAGTGGTCTTCATTGTTATTTTGACCTTGAATATGTCCTTTCAACTTGACCTAAGTCCATTTGTATTTCTCACCTCTTAACTCTTTATTAATTTCATATATACACATTCCTATGACAAGTGCGTGTGTGTGATCAGATTGTTCGGAATGTGTTGTGCGTCGGTGGCACAGTGGTTAGGACTCTCGCCGACCATGCATATGGTCCCGGGTTCGATCCCCTGCCGACGCACACGCGATATCTATGGTCGGCCTGCAAAATTTGGGCTGCCGATATCCATGCTGAAAATTTCATACTTGTACCGAAGAAATACGGTGTGGAATCAAGCTGTAATCACAAAAAAATACCCCATATACGATTCAGACAAATTACGTCTTCCTTCTTATTGCTTTATCTAAATGTAATTAATTTTCTATTTTATTGTCGATAGCAAATCGGATATTTGGATGGTGAAACCCGTTAGAAGTTAAATTCCACATTGATTGATCATACTGGTCTCTGTTGACATGTCACCTATTAGTGTACGGACGCTTTAACGACGTCTGAGGATCAAGATGATGTTATTTGGTGGTGGTGGTGGGTGGTAACTACCAGCGTAACCTAGAATGTGCAATTCATCCTATTCGGGGCTCATCAACTGGATGTACTTACAATCTCCAGTGAGTGATGGTATTCCCACTGGGACTCGAACCCAGCGCTGCCATCTCATTGCTAGTCCTGAAACCAATCAAATCCCTGTAAAAAAAAACTAACACTTGAATATCAATCTGATGTTCTCTAGCGGTGACTGGCCCTATTCAGGTGGGTAGTTACCTGGATTCTAGTGGGAAGTCATGTAACCCATGGGGTACAGCAGGTGGTCGGGTGTGAGGACAAATACTCGCTAGCGATGACATTGGCTAGTGCCAGTCGCTCCATATCATAAATTGGCAGAAGTTGGGATTCATGGGCTGACCATTGTATTGGCGGGTCCCAGTGGCTAGCTGAATGGTCTACGAGCTAGCTCGCCTTGTAACCAGAAGGTCCTGGGGTTCGAACCATGACGGTGGGTGCGTACCGCTGAAGAGTCCCGAACTAGCCTGATAAAAAAAGCTAGCTGTCCAGTACTCCCTGCAGGTTTTCCAATGGTTCTCTAGTACTGACGTCAGTTCCTCATGAAATCCTGAAACTAATTAAAACAACTCCTGGCAAACCAACACTTGAATACACTGATAATCACCACCCACCACTAAATAACATCATGATGAAACCCTGATTAGTCGTTGTATCTAACTAACAGATAACTTAGTTAATATTTATACACCATGTATGCTGCCTGACTGATAGACTAACAAGTTAGGTAGGAGGCTTTAGTTGAGCACAACAGAAAAATAACCAGAAAATGCACAATAATAAAGTATGAAGAAGAAAATTCAATAATAGAACACCTACATCATTTAAATTATCTTTGATTACGACCAACTCATTTAAAACGGCTCGGGATTTCTGAAATATTAAAAGAATTAGTGAAAGTAAGAATGAAATTGTTTACATTGGTATGATATATATATATATACATTTGATTCCCGGCCAACAACTGCCACCTTGCCGTGGTGGTCCGGGAGCTTGAATACCGCAGTGACCCGAAAAGCTAAACTGACCGGGACTCATGTTTCTGCAGGTCCTACCATGTCAGGAAGGTTGTCTGGATAGCGGTTAGACTAAAAGCAGCTACCATGGGGTACATGGGCTCCAGAATCCAGTCGGATCAAATGGCGTAAAAACCCACCGGCAACTATGGGAACGCAGCTCCGCTGCCTTACGGATTAGACTCCAAGTCAAAGACTCTGTGGGGGAGGGTCCCTTAAGACAACCACCTGATTCGGTTTGGGCGCCCGGGCAGTATCCCAGCCCTCACACAACAAATGAAATAAAACAACAAACTATTATTGAAACTCACCACGTGCTCGTAAAAATGATTTCAAGAAATAATGATACCTCAAGCAACTTATATCCTTCCAACCTTACTTTTATTTTTATACTTAGATTCCTGTATCTTAACTTTGCTCACCTTGACTTCTTAACCTTCGACAGCCTTTCGCCTTTGTCTGCATTCCTAGCCTATCTGTGTCGTTTCGAGATGTTAGTGAGTATCCCTCAAAATGGTTGTCCCCAATGTGACATCTAACACAGATATCCTGAAACCGCGTGCCGCGTTCAAGCTGGCCACCTAGGTGGTCAGTTCATGACGTGGCGTCGTGGGATGAAGGATTTTTGTGCAAGATTCGCATCGGTTGGTGCGTCACGACTCCCTGGTTGGGGTCGGCGAGATAGTTCGAATCGATGGCTCGAAACGTTATCCGATATGGCCAAGAATCGTAATCAATGGCGAACGTGTTGCAATTTCCTTCTTTCTTTCCTTTCTGATGATAGGTAACGAATACTGTTGAACTTGTTAAACATGACTGTTTTCCTTCCAGATAAAGTTCTTTATCCGTTCTCTATGTTTTTTTATCATTATTATTGTGTGGCGCATCTTTCTTGGTGCCATATTGTACCAAGTTTTTTTCTTCTGCGTTTAAATAAATAAATAAATAATGTACATTCGATTGGACACTATTCAGTAACTAGTATAATGTGTCCAGTCCTTTGTTAGGTGCCGCTAGGTGGCTGCCTGGTAATAGAGGCAATCGGCAACAGGTAGCCTTGGATCACCTAGGTTTCGTGCTAGTTGGCACTCTTCAGCAAGCCGTATCTGCAATCTTGAAAGAACTCATGGCCCTTCTAGATACATTACACCAGTTACTGACAAGTGTCCAATCAAAACTATCCAATACACTCAGTCCTACAGGAGGTCAATCGCCAGGCCGAATTGCTCACAGGTAACATCTCTGGCTGACTGCACCACTCACTGGGTGACGCGGGTTTGAATCTCAGAAGGGATATATGAGTTCCTTCAAAGCGGTTGCAGATACACGCCTTGCTGACTGTTGACTGTCAACTTCCTCCCGATTGCCTTCAACCATCTAATACCGTTAATATAAACAAATGTATATACTACCATGAGAAGTACTCAGTGCTGAGGCGTTCCGTAGTATTTAGTCTAAAAGAAAAATTCTCACAGAAAACAGCTCGAATGTGTTTTTGTCCATTGCAAATATATTACATAATCTCTGTGGACAATAAACCTAAGGAAACAATTTTTGTGGCGAATTGAAATTCTTAAGAAAGAGAATTTCGTTCACCTGAACACACTTCCAGTTTTCACAATGAAGTGACTATGACACGTGCTTTTTACAAACAAAAATATGGTCATTTGTTTCTGTAAAATTAAGTAAAATACGTTGATAAAACACCTTTCTGTTTATAGTTGTTTAAATTATTATTCATGAATAATCCCCATCCATGTGCGTCGGTGGCACAGCGGTAGAATGCTCGCCAACCACGCCACATGTGCTCCGGGGTTCGACCCCCGGCCACTGAACGCACTCCTTTACCTCGCTAAGCTGGCAACAAGACTGGCAAAGAGAGAAGGTTGGGCATGAGGCTATCAGCCCCATCCCATAACAATGGCCACCACTGCTAACGAAACTTCAAGCCTCTAACTTGAAGCCCTATTTTCCACTGGGAACGTAAAGGAATAAAAAACAAACATCCCTTAAATATACTAACACAAAGGTTAGACATATGTAGTTGATAGTTTCATCCACTTGGTTGAAAGTCGATTGCCGCTCAAGGCAGCACACCATAACACAAATCAACTTTTCAATTAACCATCAATTAACTAATCACACCCCATCAGTGCAAACGTATCAGTTGTTTCAAGTCTTCTTAGACGAGCACACTCTTCGATGTTAACTTACGCGAAGGAAAAAGAAGAGGAAGAAATATCAAACATTACTGAAATTCTCAAGAAAAATAACTACCCATAGAACTTCATCAACAAAATCAACACTGACATTAAATATGGTCGAAAACACGTATTCCGGAGACATCGACCTCAACTGTTTCCATTCCAAATAGACCATCAAATATGTTAGACGATATCAAAAGAGTACTCAATAAGCACAAAATTACAGATGTCTTCAAAACATCAGACACACTGCGAAGCAACCTTATCCATATAAAAGACCAAATCCCTAAAGATTCTCTATCTAATTGTGTCTATAAAATAAAATGCTTGGAATGTGATGCGATATACATCGGACAAACATCTTCAGAGACAGAAATCAAGGTAATCAGAAGAAATGAACACCCTGGAGCCACCTCTGTTCGATCACCGAGAAATCCAGCTAATGAACTAGAAAAGCTTGAAAAATCATCAGCCATAGGTCCACAGGTCACAAAATTGATTTTGACAATATTGAAATCATCACCCAGAAAAAGCATTTCAGAAATCACGAAGAACGTCTCACATCATCAGAGGCACTTCATATCATCAAATGGAATCCAAATTGTCTGAACTGAATATGAATGATGGACTAAAACAGAATCTGACCTGCTTACAACACCCCTCCTCCTCTCCCATGAAATGACAAAATCAACACGAATGTGATAAGCAATTTCATTACGTAAACACATCCAACAATCTACACATGGTTTTGTTATCTTTACCAAGTAGCCATGTTGACAACAACATCAAAATTACCCCATGTCGATGAACGATGATTAAGTTGTTATATATGGGCTGAGCGGATTTTGTAAATTCTGGTTTAATAATACTACTACTTTGATAAAGCTATTAGCAGCAGCATTAAATAGCGAAACGTCAGTAAAACACAACAACGATATCGTTTTGTTTTTTCATTCATTGGGAAATACAAAAAGAACTTTCATAATAATGAATATCATATACCCAACGGCCAAATTTTTTCCAAACTGTTAAAAATGAACTTGGTATCGACATATATATAAGAAATCACGTGTGCATGGTCCGGAATCAACTTCCCCGGCTGATGCAATCTTAAGCCTTTCTTAGCTGATAAGGTGATAAAACCGGTAAAGAGGGAACACCACTGAGTATGCGCTAGCAGCTCCACCCTATTATTAACACAATATCACCCCAACTGCTAAATCTTCAAGTCTTGAAGCCCAATATTCCCCACTCGGAACACAAGAAATGGAAAAAAATGGCAAAACTAGGATGGGATAGTTATTCAGTATTCCGTGGTTTTCAATGGTTCCTCCGGCAGATTCTCTTCTGTACTCATTTACGTTCCAAGTGGAACATAAGGCTTCAGGCTACAGCTTCGAAGCTTCAGTAGCAGTGGTTTTATTTTTACGCGGTAGGGTTGCTAGCCTCACGCCAAACCTTCCCTAGTTACCGGTCTTAGTGAGATTTAGGAGTGCGTCCGCGAAGAGTCGATCCCCAAACCACGTGAGTGATTGGTGAGAGTTCAACCGCTGAACCACCGACACCAGCCGATGTCAACTAATATTCCCTGCAAAACTAACACTTCAGGAATAAGATAAAATCACTCAACACCCCCGCCCCACCATCAAAATAACGCCAAATGTATAGAAGCATATATAATGCATAGAGTAGCTAAGGATTAATCTGTAAACTTCAGTTTACTTAAAAATATATATATAAATGTAAATAGATAATACAGTTATACATAAAAGCATACTGAAATTTACTTTTTCTGATAACTGAAAAGCTGTAATCAAATCTTCCGTGGAGAATTCAGCAACCTGAGATGGAGAAAACAAAACAGAGAGGAAATCAAAAGCAAAACGAAATATCAAAAGCCAATGAATAGTAGTTTAGAATGATAAAAATGCACCCAATTATAGCCATCCTTGCCAACCACACAAATGGTGTAGGGTTCGGCCCCCCGAGGACGGACTCCTTACACTCGCCAACCCGATAGTAAGTTCAGTAAAGAGGGAAAACTGGGCGTGAAGCTAGCATCCCCACCCCTTACAAAGTAAACACCAGTGCTACTGAAACCTCAGAACTCAAGCCTGACGCTTTATGTTCCTGACTGACTATATGACTGGTTCCAACATTGAACTTTGCACAGATATGCAACAGTTCCACTTGCCACTTTCCCTCCATTTACCATACAAAGCAACAAACGACAGTAAAGGGAGGTTCAAAGGAGAAAAAGATAATAAACAGAGGTATGAGGGAAAAAGACTAGTAATATGGAAGAACACCAGAGTTTCATTGGATGTGACAAATCACACAGAGGGAATGCATATGTGGTATCACTGAGAACGATTTTGAGCCATATCACCAATTGTCACCAACCGCCATTGGTTTATGCCGTCATCTGGAGGACCCTGACCAGGACGTCTACACCTCCTTCGGTGTCTGACTTAAACTAACTGTTATGCATTTCATTGACTGATGAAGCCATGTTATCGTTTGACCACCACTAGCTCTTTTACAACCTGATCAATCCTATGTCAGCTAACATTGCCCGTCGAGGGAAGCATGCGATGGCTAGGCTAGGCATGAGTACTAAATGTCCTAACTATCTCCATCAATCGACGTAACTTCATAACATCGTCGATTGATTTTCCCTTCAACTCACCTAGTTACTTCACCGAAGCCTAACTTCAATATTACTCATCCTATTACACCACATCATATGGGAGATAGAACGCAGGCACCTACGGTCAAAGACAGCTAGCCTTTTCATGACTTCCACTTTTAACCACCCAGTCTCACAGTCATAAAGGAGAGGTGGGAGAGAGAACTGCTGAGCAGTACACACGTCCGTTGGTCAACAATCGGATATCACGTCTACACCAGAGACAGCGTAGGTTGGCATATCCCAAACGAATCTTCTATATCCCTGCTGAGATTTCCTCAGTAATCGACCCGCTGGGGTTGTTGCAACTTCCCAAATAAATGAAGCGGCCAACACGCTCAGCTAGATGTGATTTTTTCGCAACAAAACCACATGTATCTGAATGTGTTTGTATAATCAGCACACCTTTTTTTATCCCTAAAATCACAAATCGCCCCACTTTTCGTGTTCCTTACTAACGGAATTAATATTGATTACAAGATTTTATCATGAACTGATGCCGATTAGAGAAACATTGGAAAACCAGCTGGGAGTACTGGAAAGCTGTTTTGTCCTAGTTTAGGAATCTCCCGTGGTACGCACCCACCAGGGTTCGAACCCAGGACCTTCTGGTTACAAGGCAAGCTAGCTCCTGGACCATTAGGCCACTAGGACCCGACCCAATGGGCCATGAATTCCAACTCCTGCGAATTCATAACATAGAGCATAGATTAATTGCACAATCCACATGCTTAACTGTATCATCCTATTGATAACTCACATTATGATTGGTTCAGATTTACTAATTATTTGTAAAGTTACGTATATTAGAGTAAAGCCTGATGAGACCTATTCGAATATATTATCGGCCGCTAATGTGTTGTTCTAAATTCTATTATCAGAATCTCTAATGTTTCAACAATGAATTCACCGGTCTTATTACCGGCTTAGCGAGGTAAAGGAGTGCGTCCAGTGGCTGGGGAGTGGCTGGTTGGCGAGCATTTTACCGCTGTGCCACCGACGCATTCAATAATGAATAAACGACGCATGGTAATATGCGTCAGGATAAAAACAAATGTGTTATATATGCACCCCAATGGCTAAATAGTTCTTAAATTATTCATAATGCATCATGCTACAATGTAGAATCCTCAGGACTCATCGATAGGAATAGTGGATGATATGTAGCACAATCGTTACGTATTACATTAAAAGTCTTCAATAGCAAATTAAACGTGTTTATGATGCATGATAGTTTTTCATGTGGTTGTGTTCTCTGAGCTGGATAGTCACAATATGCAATGATTTCATCGCCCTACTAGGCAACATCCTCATTTCAGCGCAGACTTCAATTTACTGAAGTGAGCTTTTCGATTTCTCCACGACTTTATTAGCCATCTCTCCTGGTCACCTTGGACGTGACTCTTTGGTTGCTTTTGTGTGTTTCCACACCCTGTAGGCTATTTGTATTCGAACTGATTGTTTCCTTGACTTGAATTTTGACCCTTCGTGTGTTAGGTTTCTTTCTTATCGGTTGATAAATTTTGTCTATCTCGATGTGTCTATTGATTGATGATTCACTGAAATACCAGGCTTCTAGAAATTTTCTAGCATTCTTGTTGTTTCCTCTGTCTAATATTTGACCGTTGTCCCAATCGAATTGATTTCCGTGGTTGTCTGTATACAGTGAGGCAAAATAAGGGAGTGGATTTCATGTCTTTTGACGGGTAGCTTATGTTCCTGGAAACGAAGACGAAGGGGATGTTCACCTTGGCCAATGTAGTGTTTCTCGCAGTTGTTACAATTTGTTTTGTAGATGATGTTGGTTTTATCTTCTTTCGCTGTTGAGTCTTTTGGTTGACACAGGGTTGGCTGAGTGAAGTGATTTTGTTGGTTTGTGTGAGACGTCAATTCCTAAAGGTTTGAAGAGTCTTGCAGTGATTTATGAGATGTCCTTTATATATGGTAGGGCGATTTTCTTTGTGCTTTCCTTGAGGGACTTTGATTTGATAGGTTGGCTTGGGGGTATATGTCTTTTGATGAAATTCCGTGGATATCCATTTTTTTGGAAGACGTCCATAGGATATCTTTCTTCAGTTTTCCTTAAGAGGGGAGTGTTTCAATGAGTCCTGACCGTCTTGAATAGTGTTTGTATACAATTCCTTTTGTGTGTTATTGGATAAGGGCAATGGTATTGTAGTAATGAATAGATCCGATTACAATGAGAAATTGACAGATATACTATCAGATAACACCAAATTCTTCGAATCACCCAACCAGAAAGACACAACCGAAAGAACTGAAAACCTACTTACAAAATTGCTGAAGAGAATGAAAGAAGATTCAGTCATAACACCGGAGGTTTATGAGCAAATAAAACCTTGCAGTTCAACTATTCCAAGACTGTATGGACTGCCTAAAGTGCACAAGGAGAATGTCCCACTTCGACCGGTCATAGACATGGTTAACTCACCATATCATCAAATCGCGAAGTGGCTAGCTGATATCCTCGAACCAGTTCAAAGACATATGACAAAATATAGCCTCAGAGATACATTTGACTTCATCGACTCAGTGAAGGATGTCAACGTGTCTGAAAGACAAATGATCTCACTAGATGTCGTCTCTCTATTCACAAGCATCCCACTAACTGAAACAATATGCTTCATTTGTGATTACATCGAAACCAACAACCTAGAAGTTCCTCTCCCAATAAACTACCTGAAGGAACTTCTTCTCAGATGTACGTTCAATATCCAGTTCAAATTCAATGAAAAGTTCTATGTACAGAAAGATGGAGTAGCTATGGGGTCTCCTCTCGGTCCACTCCTAGCCGACTGCTTCATGGCGAGTCTAGAAAACAACATCCTCAATCCCTTGATAAGTCAACTGCACTTATACAAGAGATACGTAGATGACACGTTTATAATCTGTGATGAAAATTGTGATTTAGATTCTCTCCTCAAAACCTTCAACGCAGCGCATCCATCAATAAGTTTCACCTTAGAAAGAGAATCGAACAACGCATTTCCATTCCTTGATGTACTACTCACCAGACGACACGATGGTACGATCCAAAGATCAATATACCGCAAGCCAACATGGACTGGACAGTTTATCAACTTTCAGAGCTTCGTCCCACTAACCCGAAAGAGAAACCTGATACGTACGTTGAGCTCAAGGATTAGAAAAATCTGCTCGGAAGACATGGTGGAGAATGAATTAAATTTATTACGTAAAATCCTACTAGAGAATGGATATCCACCAAGATTTATTGACAAAAACATGAAGGAGAAGCCTCCGATGTCAAACACCGCAACGGTTCCTAAGAAGACTCTCTTCATGAACCTAGAATTCAAAGGTGATGTCGCAGCTGAAATTCTCAGAAACCGCCTTTCTAAATGTCTGAAGAAGACATTTCCAACAGCCACTCTACGTATCACATTCTCCTGCAGACAGTTAATCCAGTCTAACGTGAAGGACAAGATACCGCTTTTGGCCACCTCAATGTGTATTTATCAATTTACTTGCTCGTGTGGAGCAAAGTATATTGGCCGTACGCAACGTCAAGTCCAAAAACGTATTCTGGAACACTGCCCCGCTTGGTTGGCCAGAGGAGAAAAGAAGAATAGCAACAGCTCGATCCTCGAACACCTTGTCATCTCTGGACATCGAGCACCCCCACATGAATGCTTCACAGTGTTACACAGAGTCCCTCAATATCGTACAAAGGGACTTCGGATTCGCCATCTGTACATAGCTGAAGCATTAGCTATTCGAGATCTAAAACCGGACCTCTGCATACAAAAGCGATACATACATTCTCTAGCCTTACCATGGCCAGAGTAAAGTTCTTGTCACAATTTTGCTTCCTTCCTTTATTATGTAAGTTCACTATTATTACCATTATTATTTTATTTTATTAATATTTTTATCATTTTGTCCCCATCATCCACATTTTATTACCACTCTATTACTGTTTATTAATAACATTGTTTTTCATACATATTTTATACAAAAACACTTTATAGCCTTTCCACTAGTTCCTGTCCATTTTACACGAGATTATTGATTATTCACTATCTCACACTTATTACGTCATGCCAACTTCTGTCTCCTTTCTAACTTACAATTAGTCATCCCTTCTTACACCTTACATTATGTAATACAATTTTCCAAGGACAAAATTTACCAGTATCTGATTGGTCTAAAGATTTCTTTGTTAATTATAATTACGATTGTACAGCTCATGAAAATGAATCGTCGAAAAGAAAATTTTCTTCGCTGTTTGTGCCTCTTTCTTATGTTATTGGATTGTTGCTGTTGTAATTCAGCATTTGGTCTGTGTGAGTTAATTTCCTTTAAACTTGAGTTTCTAATTCCCCTGTGGTTGTTCACTTGACTAATACGTCCAAAAATGGGATTTTGTCCTCGGATTCCTCCTCTCTTGTGAATTTGATGTCATTAAAGACGTTGTTTATCAAGTTGTGAGTTTTATCTAACTCGTTTCTTTTGATTATTACAAATGTGTCGCCTACGTAAGAAGGAAACCTCGCACATAAAGGGTCAAAGTTCAAGTCAAAGAAACAATCAGTTCCAATACCAGAAGTAGCCTAGAGGGTGTGAAAACACACAAAAACAACCAAAGAGTCACGTTCAAGGTGACCACTAGGAGAGATGACTAATAAACTCGTGGAGAAATCTCAAAGTTCACTTCAGTAAATTGACGTATGCTCTGAAGTGAGGATGTTGCCTTGTGGTGAGGCGATGAAAACTTCGCAAATTAACTATCCAACTAAGAGAACACAGCCACATCAAAATAGCCCACCTGAGGTACAAATCTTCTCCATCATATGCATGATAGTTCACCAAATTCTATAACCTGATACTTACTTCACTACTGGCGGCTGTTAAATGATTTGACCTTGTCTGCTTGTCAAGTTGACGAAATCGTATCCATGTTGCCCCGAAACCAACTAATCCAGCAGCCAGGCTAAAACCAACAGTCCACTGCCGCATTCTGTTGGCTTGAATTCTTTCTTCTGCTTGAGAATGACGTAAAATACTGGAGAATTGTTCAAAGGCAGCGTGTTCATCTGATTCAATCGATGATAATCGATCACGAGCCAGTTGGTATTGACGTGAAAGCTAGAGATCACAGTGAAGGTGATTTAATCTAAATTTATCAATATTATTGATATTTAGATTTGAAAGTTTTCGTGCACATATCAACCATTTACAGATAAAGCATAAATATAGGAGACATTGGAAACAAAGCTCCAGAGGTTATTCAGACAATGTACAATAAACATAATAATAATAATGTGCTTTATTCCAAAACAGTACTTGTGATACAGAATGGAATTCTTAGCAATTTTACTACAGTATTGCATCCAGTTAGTACATTATCAATAAATAGAATTCTACATAGATTAAGGAAATCTCAGTTCATTGTGACGACAACATATTGGCGTGTCGGTAGCAAAGCCAAAATTGAACAGACTGTTTGAAGGTGTTAGAAAATTAGGTGCTATCATATTTACTGGCATAAGAGGAAGAAAGAAACAAAGTAGCACATAACGGAAAAAAGAGAGAAAAAAAGGAAAAGAAAGAAAGAAAATGTTGTACATATAAATGATATGAGTTGGAAAGACGAGGTCCAGTTGTTCTACTGACTATTTAATAAGTTATTGGTGTCACGCCTAATGCTTTCTTTATCACACAGAACACGAGCTAAGTAGGGTATGGTTGAGTTTTTGTACTTGCTAGTGCGAGCATATAGTTTTTCTATATAGGCTTCTGGTCCTGCCTGATGAGATACAAGGGGAGAGTTGTGAATGAAGAGGGTGCTGTGAGTTAGATAAAATGGATTTAGCCCATTTTTCACATGAGTCCATGTGCCTGTCAACCAGAATATTAACAAGCTGGTTAAATGGCACGTTGCTTACCCTGCTGACAACCTTTAACATCCTGCGTAATAAGGTATAGTCTTTCTTCAGTAGCCCGGGAATAATAGGCAGAATACGAGAGTTAACGAATTGTAGGAGTAAGGGTTGGTTTATACCAGAATGTCTTAACTTCTTGATGTAGAAGGTAAAATGGAATATTTTCCTAGAAATCATCAAGATATGAGACGACCAGGAAAGATCAGCAGATAGAATGACGCCTAGGTATTTAATTCCCGACTTGGTTTCTATTTCAGTGCCATCTATGTTGCACACCTCGTGAGAGCTAACCAGTTTGTTTAGGTCAGAGTTATGCCTAAACGTGAAATTGACTGTTTCGCATTTGGAGGAGTTTAAGGTAAGACCGTTTTCCTTGGACCACTGTCTGATTTCTGATAGAAAGCCATTTAGTTTAGAGCAGTCACTTTGACATTTGACAGGCAAAGATACAGTCAGGTCGTCAACATATTTGACAAAATTAATGCCATTTGAAGATGGTAAACCATGTAGAAAGAAAGAAAAGAGAAGTGGAGAGAGTACAGCACCTTGGGGGACACCAGCAGAAGAGGATTTACTTTTGTATACGGTGTACTGCATTCTGTTAGAGAAGTAGGAATGCAACCAGTTAGTGACCCAGGACTCAGTTTGTGTCATAGAGAGCTTATTTAGCAAGGGACATCTAGGTACAGAGTCGAAAGCAGAAGTGAAGTCGAGAAACGTGCAGCGAACGTATTTGGCACCTTTATCTAATGATGAGACGACAATGTTGTGTAAGACGGTTGCAGCGTCTAAAGTGCTCTTACCCTGTCTATAGGCAAATTGTTTGGGGTGTTCAAAGCTTTTAAGGGACGGTTAAAGTTTAAGAAGTACTAGTTTTTCCATAAGCTTTAGAAATGGGGAAGTGATGGCAATGGGTCTGAACTTCACGTTCTTGCTAATGCCAGGTTTAGGGACAGGGACTATTTTAATGTCTTTCCATGCAACAAGTACAACGTTTTTGGAGAAAGAAGCATTTAGGACGTTAGTTAGTGGAGAACATAAGGCCGCCAAACATAAGAATTACTTAGTGTCCTGTCGTGTTGTATTTTCGAAGTTGAGTAATTGTTTAATCACGAAGCACTAACTTCATTTTGAAGTGAACATAACAGTGCCAAAGACGTCTAGTCGACCTACAAATCGCTACTATTTCAAAAACATATAAACTTGAGTATATTTTTCGGAATCTTTTATGACAACTCTTTTCCTCGGTGAATCAGAGACCGCAAGTATTGTAACAGTTTCACTGTCAAAGATCAACTTGCTTATCCGTGTGGAGTGAAACACATTGTGGTGAATGTAATATTCAGGAGAGGAGAGTTCAGCAGTTTCGTTGTGATGTGATAGTCTACTTGTACACTGCCTTCAAATTATCGTCAACAAATACATCCCTCAACAGCCGTTAGTGTTTTATTCTCCTTTCGCTAGTTCGTCTGGTGTTAATAACAACCTGGCCATCAGGTTATGTGGGTCAGGCTGAAGAGTCAGCAGGTAGTGTGGCTAGCGCTAAGGTTTAGCAGGATTGGTAGCCACACATCGTGGCTACACACACACACACACTGTTATATCTAGTCAAAACCAACTGGAAACGAATTTAATTGGTGGATGGTGACTAGCAGTGGAATCCAGGATAAAGCGCATTTCGTCCTATTTAGGACTCATCATCCGGATGTGCCTGTATTCCCCAGTGAGTGGTCATGTCAACCTGAGACCAAGCACTTCGGTTCAATCAATCGACGGGAAAATCTAAAATTCAATTAAACAGTTAATATGACCCGTTGCACATGAGGCAGTGGCTCTCATCACCCAAGTGGTCTAGTGGATAACTCGCTTTGGCGTTTGAAACTATGGGCACTGGGTTCGAGCCCCGGTGGTGGAACATGATCACTCACTGGGGAATGCAGTTACATCCACTGGCTGACGAGTCCCAAATGGGACGAAATGCGTTTTACCCTGAATTCCACTGCAAGTCACCACCCACCAATTAACTTATAATTACATGCCCAGATATCGTCGAAGCATCTGCACAAGAAGCCGACATGTCAACCTGAGTAGACCGAGCACTTCGGTCCAATCAATCAATCGACAGGAAAATCTAAAATTCAATTAAACAACTGGAAACGAGTTGAAAATCATTCAAACAGCCTAACTAACTGGTTTCATAGTTCACCACAACCGATGAAGTTTCCCAATCTCATCGATTGATTAACCCATCCTTATCTAACATTCTACACCGAATTTCAACATCAGTTACCATGCAGCGTTCATCTAACATGACCGATCGGATGAATACACCTACGATCAAAACCCTGTAGTCTTTCTGAATCACAACTCAGTCATTTTAGCTACTAATATTTGGCGCCGTCTTCTAAGGGATGACCAACACTAGTCCTGCTTAGACATAGAACCAATCAGACAATTCCCTATCTGTTATTCACACTCGTTTAAATGCGTAAAGATTAGGGATTCTTTGTGATATGCTTGGAAACTATTCACAATAGTACAGGTTTCTACAGTCGTTAATAACATCCTTGAAATGCTTCATACTTCTACGAATGTCTGTGTGTCGGCGGCTTAGCGGTAGAATGCTCGCTAACCACGCCACAAGTGGTCCCGGGTCAAATCCCCGGCCAACGGACACACTCCTTTACCTCGCTAAGCCAGTGGCAAGACCGGTAAAGAGGGAAGGTTGAGCATGAGACTAGCAACCCCATCCCGTCAAAAAAAACACCATTGCTACCGAAACTTCAAGTGTCTAGCTTGAAACTCTAGGTTCCACTGGGAATGCAAAAGAATAAAATTAAAATAACAAAAATATTTGGCTAATAACTCTCAAGTGTGGTGTAAAGAACATTATTTTGTATCCTTTCCCCACACAAAACCAAACATTACCACCATGTCCATAGCACAAACTGAAACAAACTATCAATTATCAAAAACAAAACTTAATAACACATGTACATTGTAATGCAACCAAGGAATGTAGAAATTTGGGCGCAGAAAACAAAAGATGACCTACCTACCTCATGTAACTCTGTGACTAACTTCAGAAAACTTTCATCACTGCGCCTGACACTGTCCATTTGTACATTGATTCGATTTCGTGCTTCTTCTAACATAAAAACTTCCTTTTGACATTCTTTCCGTTTAACTTGCTTCTGTGTAAAGTTTTTTTCAGCCTACAGTTGTAAAGCGAATATAATAGTGTTTGTCAAAACAATATACACTAGAATACATGCAATATTTGTTACCAACAGATCGATAGACAATGTTAGCTGACCGACACAGGGTCGATCAGTTTGTATAGAAGAGTTGGCCAGTAGTGGTCAGACAAAAACATGGCTTCATCAGTCAATGAAATAAATCCACAACAGTTAGTTTAAGCCAGCCAGCCAGCCACATCGGCAGGTGTAGACTTCCTGACTGGCTGGTTGGGGTTTTCCGGATGACGGTGAAAACCAATGACGGCGGCTGGAAACAATTGGAGATGTGACTCAAAATCTTTCTCAATAACGGTGCAGATGCACTCACTCTTTGTGATTTATAATACCGAATAAAGTTCTCTTGTTTTTCCATATCACTATTCTGTCTCCCTCACTCACACTTGTATTTATTATCTGTCTTTTGAACCTCCCTTTACTCTCTTCTCTTGCTTTGGGTGGTAAATGGAGGGAGAGTGGCAACTCGAACTGGTGCATATCTGTGCAAAGTCCTAAGTTGAAACCAGTCAGTCAGTCACCAACAGATCGAGTGAGTAGTATAGACAAAATGAGAAACCTCGCAATGAAAGATACCTTCTTACACACTTCATAATTTACAAAACACCAACTACTTGATATAAAAATATGATTAGCAGATCTGTATTTGTGAAGGCAGAAAAGAGCCAACCCACGTCTCATGCTGTTTACAATCATATGGAGACATGGTTCAATATTTTGAGACTTCAAATTCAAACAACTCCACGTGGTTATGACCGAGATAATGCCGGATTTATGCTCGTTCATACTGTCACTTGGACACGCACACACACACACAAATACACACAACAATATACAACTGGTTACTCATCTACTATTCCCACACTGGAAAGCCATTGAAGACTGATTGACAACTCAAAGATTTATTTATTTCTCTGGGGGGGGTGGAGGCAGTGAGACCAGAAAGTACAGCTAATTTTGCACTTTCCTGACATGATCAATAAATTACATGTTAAAGATAAGGGAGCTATGCCCTGATTGGATAGCATGTACCAATAAAAATCCAATAAATTCACGTTAAATCTACACTATGGTTGAATGGTTGAATGTCTGATTTACAAATCACGTACGTGGGAGACACGAATCAATATATATATATATATATATATCCTGTCTTAAATTGTTAAAGGGCAGGAAACGATTTCACCTCTGGCGGTGTGTGTCTGTCTGTCTGTCTGTCTGGATTCAACATAGAACTTGGCACCGAAGTGCAGCAGTTCGAGTTGCCACGTTCCAAAGAGCACACAAAGGTAGACAAGAAAATGAGTGAAGAGAATCAATAGAGTTTTGACAAGTATAAGAGTGAAACAGAATGAGTAATGGTAGAAAGGAATATGAAAGATTACAGAGACTGAATACATCTGCGTAAGCCATTGACAACGATTTTGAGCCATGTCACCTAGTGTCTCCAGCCATTGATTCTTAGAGTCCCAAGGGCCCCAACCCGGAAGTCTGCATCTCCCTACCTGACTCAGTTTAACTGTCAAGGATTTCATGGATTGATGCCATGTTTTTGTTTGGCCACCGCTTACTCTTTTCCAACCTGCACCTATATCAGCTAGTAATGCCCATAGGGGGAGGCGATGGTTAGGCATACGCAGCACGTGACCTAGCCATCTCAGTCTATGTAACTTTATAGCCTCGTCGATTGATTTTACCTCTTTACCCAACACTCTATGCCTAACGTCAACATTACTTACCTTATTACACCACCTAACGTGAGAAAGAGATCGTAGACATCTATGATCAAAAACGGTGTGAACTATACACCACAGTTTTGTTAATTCTTATACAATGGGTCTTACTTTCATTCTAAGACATTAACATCGACTTCAGTGTTAATCTATAACTATTATTAAGTACGGAGGTTTAAAACACCGCCTATTACCACCTTTCAAAACTTAGGAAAGAAATATACTACAAAAGCAATCAAATACTAACTGGTCAGTAAAAATGATATAGTCTTGTCTTCCCTATTTCCATCCTGACCAAGGGAAGCCAACGTTTGGTTTCAGTACCTAGTCGCATCACGTTTTAAGTAAAATATACAAAGCTGTAGCATCATAAATTTAGAAACAAGAAGTCAACAATGAAAAATATGTACCAAAAACATTCTTATCAAACAAATGACCAATGAAACCAATTGTGTTAAATCTCACGGTGTTTCGGAACACCGTAGAAATGACTATTTGATAAAAATAAAACTGATGGACAGACTTTCTCCTCCAATGACAGTTTATGTCAAATGAAATTTGAGTAGAAATATGCGACTCACCTCAGCTACTCCAACATGTAAAGACCTAACACGATCTAGACCAGTCAAATTATCGTAAACCTCATAGATACGACGATGATCAGAAGATTTTATCCGTTCAAATAATTCAAGAGCTGATTGTTTGATAAGAGCTGGACAATTTGCAAGGTTCTTTACTATCTTTCCAGGCAGGTTCGGTAACATGCCTTTAACTATGATGGCTACAGAAAATGGTAAAAAAAAGGGTGAGAATTTAATAAATCTTATGTTCATCGTGAATAAAGAAAATCTTAGACAGTCACTTATCACTTCATTTAGGGAGTTGGATTTTATTATATTCACAATCTTCATGTTTTGTCCATTTATTCACAACTCTGTTCAAATAGTTGGCTGGCAACAGTCATATACTGTAATGGATGCACTAATCTGTCGTATTAGACCCACCGGTGCAAAGATAACTCATTATGCAGCAGATATCATCGTCTCAGTTAGTCTTCGGCATTCATACTGAGGATGAAACAGCTGATACACCCTCATATTTTTCACAGTCTGAAGTTGAACACCGTGGAGTATTGTGAACACACATCTAAGGAATCTGGGAAAAATTACTCATTTAGTGGTGACTGGAATCCCTTTAACTTGCTCATACAGTTCTGTTGAGATCGCCCACTCGGATTATAAAAATATTAAGATTATCATCGTTTAGAATACAGCGGTAGACGCCGATGATGTTTATTGTTATTGTTATTGCCGAAGCACATCGTGAAAATATTCGGTAAAACTAGGTATATTGAAATACGCACTAAAATTACAATATAACAGTTGTGAGAAAATCAGTTGTCAACTACAAAGTGAGTAAATTCGCCAAATGAAACGGAGGAACTGTTGATTTCAAGTTTACTATATTTTTACCCTGTAGTGTTATAAATTTTAAACCTCACTCACTTATTTAGCACATATGCTACACAATAACATTAATGGGCATATTTCTGAATTCAGAACTAAGTTATTAAACCACATTAGTTCAGTGACTACTTGACAGATGGCCCCACGAATATTGATTGTTGACTAGCGGATTTAATTTTGCGTATCAATAAATGTCAACAAATCGCCAAGGATTTTCTAATTACAAACTAAAAGTCTTTATTGAGTAGTTGCCAGGGGTGAGGGTGACCAAAGTCGTGTGTTTAGTCCTCAGTGTCAGTACCGACTAGAATCTGCCATCTAGTTGGGACACCTGCTCGCTTACAAGCTGGCTTACACTCTGATCTGACGCTAGGTGGTTGGAGGTAATCCTCAGCAAGCACCAAAGCTTTCGAGCAGTATACGTTAGCGACAACGGTTATTGCTGCACCGCTATGTGACGTTGGTCCAAATCTCCGAGAGACTTGCTGACATATGCCAAGAATCACGAAGCCTTGGTCCTGTCCACTGGCTTCAACTAGCCATAGCTTGTTATAACCATGAAGGATTTCTAATCTAGAGACAAATAAGGCAAAATACCAAAACAATACACACTATAATGAAAAAATTTCACCAAGCACCCTGAGACATACTTCTAGCAAGAAAACAATTGGTGCCATCAGTGTTTGTGGGGGAATTTTCAGCATTATGAAACTGTAGGGAGAATTTAGCAGAACTGACTCAATTTCATAACCTAAGTGACCGACCCTGAGTCAAGGCAACTCGACGGACCGAACCGTTATCACATGAGTCATTTAGTGACAACGTTATACAGGAATCAAAACAGCCGGTAGATAACAGCTATTAGCGAGACTATCTCATCGAAATAGCTCGAAGTTGCTGATTGTAGCAGACTGGCTCCCAAGTGTAACTTTCAGCGCTACACTGCAGCACCCGAAACGGGTCTAAGAAGTTTGAATCGCTTCTGAATAAACGCTGCAGCCTTAATATTCGTGCTTCATGTGTGTACCAATACACCGTTACTGCCATAATGACAACAGTATAAAACCGATGTGCAGGTGAGAAGAAACACTTTGTGAGGCAAAAGATTATGTGGGGAAATTAACGTATATGTGTTTCAAACTATTCGCAGACGAATAAGTGAAATTCCCTTTTCCTGAATTTAAGACCAGGCTACAACAGTGTTCCTTATTTTATTCGGCATTGAGGAATATGATCAGTTGTGTTGAAATTTAATAAGGGGACCCAGTGATGAATTAAGATTCGGCTCAGAACAGCACCTGACCTTCAGCTCAAAGGTGCGTCGACCTTCCAATATCCAATATCCAATATCCTGATTACGAGCTAGTATAAACCAGTGATTTCTTTGAGCTCGCTTCTTGATTTTAAGGTAGAGGTTCCAGATCTTCGGTGAACTTATGCGTAGTAAATCCCGCCACTCGACTGCTTTAGCTCTGGTAGACTCCAGGAGGAGTGATGCGAGGATTGGTCAAGATTGTGGTTTGTAGTGTGCAGTATGTTAGGACTCAGCTGCTGCCGTGAATGGAGTTTGACCTAACACCCGTCGGTCATTCGGTATAGTCATAAAAGTAGAGTAATAATAATAATGATAATGATAATAATAGGTTGTAGTGTAGATAATATAGGTTGAGATAAGTGAAATAATAAAGAAAGAAAGACAGAGTAGTCGGTACAGTGGGAGAAGACAGGACGGGTCGTGAAGATTTAGCTTGTATGCTTATCCATTGACAATGTGGTTTCAAATTTTAAGAGGGTAAGCCATTGAGACACAAACCATGCATTTCTGCATGATTGTCCAGCTTCCGCTTAAAAATCTCCACAGATGGAGCTGTAGTTACGGCCGCCGGTAAAGCGTTCCAGAGACGGCAAACTCGAAGCGAGAAGAAATGTGAACGCACTCGAGTCCTTGGTCTCTGGTGTGCTATCCTTAGCGGGTTACCTCGTGGAAGCCTATAATCACTTAATGGCAGGATGCTCTTGTTAGGATGGGCCTGGTCATTTAGGATCTTATAGACGGTGATGAGGTCTCCCCTGTGACTACGGTAACTAAGTGTGAAAAGACTTAATTTCTTCAGTCTCTCCTCATATGATTTGTTGCGGAGGCCGATCACCCATTTTGTCGCTCGTCTCTGGACACTTTCTAGCATGTTAGCATCCCTTTTGAGTAGCGGAGGAGCAATGATATTATGCACCTCAAGGAGTGGCCTCACGTATGTCGTATACAACGTTAGGAATAGTTCAGGAGTAAGAGCTCCCAGTTGCCTATGCATAAAGTGTAAAGTGCCGTAAGCTTTGGCGACGTCCCTCGTGTAATTTACACTGGTGTCTAGCTTTTCTGTTAAAATAAGGCCTAGATCGCGTTCTGATGGCACACAACTCAAGTTCTGGCCACCAAGGGTGTAATTTGCACTCTGTGACCTGCCGGAATGAAGTTGCACTACTTTGCACTTCTTTAAGTTGAAAGGCATTCCGTTAGCCAGAGCCCAGTCACCCAGCGTTTGCAGGTCAGCCTGCAATCTGTCGGAGTCTTCCGATGAGTTTATTGCTCTCCAAATCTTTACGTCGTCAGCGTAAAGAAGCGCAGAGCAATTCAGTTGACAGGGCAGGTCATTGATAAAAATCAAAAACATCAACGGCCCTAAGATAGAACCCTGAGGAACCCCTGATGCCGAGGTGTGCCAGGATGATCGGATGCGGTTGACTTTGGTGCAGAATTCTCTCTCGCCTAAATAATCTTCCAGCCATGCAAGAAGTGCTCCAGAAACACCCGCTTTGCTTATTTTGTGAAGGAGCAGACCATGGTGAACTGTGTCGAATGCTTTCGCAAAGTCGAGAAAGATCACATGGACTGGTACCTTTACATCCCAGGATAGTGTCCAATCGTTCCAAGCTAGTAGAAGATTCGTCACACAGGATCTTCCCTTCCTGAAACCATGCTGTGCTTCATGGAGTAGGTTAGTCCCGTCGAAGTATTTTCTCATGTGGTCGTCAATGAGACTTTCGAATATCTTCGATATCACTGGGAGTAGCGCAACTGGTCTGTAACTGGTCGCGTTCTGCCGGTCACCACCCTTGAAGATAGGGGATAGGATGGCTCGTTTCCATTCACATGGAAGTTTCCCTACATCAAGGGAGTGACCTTGTCCAATATCCAATATATCCAATGCGTTTTTACGGACTAGTATAAACCAATTTGATTTCTTTGTGCTCGCCTCTTGATTATGAGGTAGAGGTTCCTGATCTTCGGTAAACGTCTGCGTAGCTCGTACCGCCACTCGACAGTCGTAGCTTTGGTCGACTCCAAAAGGAGTAGTGCAGGGATTAATTATATGTGGTTTGTAGAATGAGGTGTGTTAAGACTTACTACTGTGAATGGAGTTGATCCTTTCACCAGTTGGTCCTTCGGTATCGTCGTCAATAGAAAAGAGATAATAATAATAGATATAATTAGTGAAGGTATTCAGACTAACAGATAGAAAAAGAATAAGAAAACGTAACGTAATATATATATATATATACCGTTAATAATTATAATAATAATAGGTGTAGTTAAAACTGTCAGTAGAGTTAGACGGAAGAGAATGTAAAGAAGTAAAACGACCAGTTTAATTGTCTACCTTTGAATGGTGTATGATATTTTAAGGGGATAGGCCATTTGGATGCAGTCATTGTGTCGCTGCATGGTTGTCCAGCCTTCGCTTAAAGGCGTCCACAGACTGTGCCATAGCTACATCTGCCGGTAAGGAATTCCAGGGACGGCAAACCCGCAGGGAAAAGAAGTGGGAGCGCACCCGGGTCCTTGCCCTCTGATGAGCTATCCTTCTAGGATTTCCACGAGGGAGCCTATACCTACCCGATGGCAGAACACCTTTGTTTGGGTGATTCTGATCATTTGTTGTTTTGTATGCAGTAATTAATTCCCCCCTAAGACGACGGTAACTAAGCATGAATAGGCTTAATTTCTTCAGCCCTTCATCACATGGTTTATTTCGGAGACGAACCACTCCTTTTGTTGCCCGTCGTTGGACTTTTTCCAAGAGGTTGGCGTCTCTTTTAAGCAGTGGGGGTGCAATAATATTATGCACTTCAAGGTGTGGTCTGACGTATTTTTTATACAACCTTAGAAAGAGCTCATGAGTGAGTGCACCTAACTGTCTATGTGTAAAGTGTATGACTTCATATGCCCTCGCTACATACCGCAATCATTCAACATCCAGTACGTTTTTGGTGAAACGTCTAACCAAACTTATGAATCCTGATAGTCGTATTGGAACGGATCTAATTTTTGACGTATTCGAATACAACTCACCTTATCCATTGCAATAAGAGGAGGTTAATTACGTATGTATGATTTGTGCCATGTCAGTAGTGCTTCTGGGACATGCAGAGTTTTCACCGGCAGGCAATCGACAAAAAATCTAGAAGAAGCTATATCCAGTCGGCTGAAATGGAATCGAGACAACGAATACACAAACCATGTGGCATGCAGGGTGGGCAGACTGGGTGTAAGATACGTGAGACACCGGGAGCATATGCATAGACAACATAAACAAAAACATACAGGGGAGAGAGTTATGGTGGTGGAGACCACGACAAACTTGAAATAAATATATCGGAGTAGGTGTCCGGAAACTCTCTCCCGAACGATATAACTGTGATGTTGCCATCAATTTAGACTATCCATCTATGTAATTATAGTCTGTTTTCCTCCTATACAGCATATTACATTGCCCTGATATTTGCATACCACCGGTAGGCTTGATCCTTAATACTTGTCTTCGTCCAAGTTTACTCCTCATTTTTAACGCTCCCCTTTGTGGTTGTATGGTGGCGTTGGTAATGTATTACTCAACGATTCCAAGGTCATCCTGACCTTGGCCTGCGCCCTGCGGTTGTTTCTCGCGTGATTCTTCCTGAAATGGTTTTGATCATACCTTGTCGACAGTGTTCTTCTTGATTCTCGTGTACTTCATGCGCTTTATTTTGGTCAAATAATTCTGTCGCATAGTACTTTTTTGTATATGAGAACTAATTTGAGACCTATAGCTGTCTGACTGCATTGTTGAAGTGATTTTACATTTCAATGTGTTATGACTGTTGAGTAGTACCTGAGATTTTATCGTGAGTGACTATATTTTTACTGTCGTTGCGACATTTTTTGATTGCGAATAACTCAAGGAAGTAATGGCCAGCTTTACAATAAAACACGAAGATTGTTTTCCAGAGTTTAGACTACAACACACCGGTTTTGGTCACCATAATATAGGCTGAAGCATGTCAAAGTAAGAAAGATATTTCTTTAGTTAGTACAGACCAACTGGGCTGGTCCGCTTGCCTTGCGGAAACACAGACCTTTCGTTCTTGCTCAGTGGCATAGAACTATTTATATATATATTTCATTTATATATTTCATTACAGCTTGATTCCACACAGTACTTTTTGGTAGAAGTATGGAATTTTCAGCGTATGATATCGGTAGCCCAAATTCTGCAGGCCGACCATTGATATCAGGTGTGCGTCAGCAGGGGATCGAACCCCGGACCATGTGCATGGTCGGCGAGAGTCCTAACCACTGTGCCACCGACGCACAAGAATAACCAAGAATAATCTTACTTTCACGTCTTTAGAGCGTCCTGTGGCTGTGATTTTTTCAAGAAACTGTTGTCAGCTATACAGAAGGGCAGAGAGATCGGTTTTCTTCGTTCAGACCACGGGTAGTAATCCAGTGTGTGGCCCACGAAAGTAGGTGTGCTATCCATGTGTGTGTGTCTGAAACACGTGTATGAACTGCAGTTGTTACTTGGATATGCAGTTTAAACTTATTGTATTTTGCTTTATGTTCCATTATTTAAATTCTTTTAAACCTTCACCGTGCTTACATCTGAATTCGTTTCACATCTTCTGCATTTATCATGGTATTGATTGATCTGGGAGCCAAAATCACCAAATGTAATTCCATATGCCAGGAAAGCTTGAACCGAAAGGGGAAGACTACATGCTGTAGCTGAATGCTAGGCATTCAGGGATTAAGTAAGCAAAGCATGGTTATGACTTGGCTGTCCGGATGAGTCCTACACCCAGGGAGCGGAATACTTAACACATGAAGCCTGCACACGTCACAGTAACTAGGACCATGGTGGAATAAATGACATGTGGTGGCAGTGAAAACCAGTGCTAAGCACGCAAGAGGTTGTGCAAAGAGCTCCACGCGGCACTGCCGTGGTAATATTTGCTCCTGTAACCGGTACGTTCAACGTTGGTGGTACATTGCGAAGTGATATTTTATGTAT